TTAAATTAAAACTTCGCTCGCTCTTTCATTATGAACAAATTGCTCGAGAAAATTTAGCTATTAAATGAATGAAAGTTCCATCGTTCAGTTTAACTGTAACCAAATACCTCACGTTTCAACTTTCTGGGTACTTTTTGTGAACGATTAAAATTAATTGCAGACGGTTTTTAGGCCGCTTGTCAACCAACGTAATGACACTATTGTTTATACAAATTCATTCTGAAACCAAATTTTTCTGTCAACCAAAGTGATTTGATAGAGAGAAAAGAGAGGATTCATAAGTTATTTATCGGCTTGAGGTAGTGACCGACGTGATTGCTTAAAAATACTGCCCAGCCGGAAAACGAGGTATATTTATGATAAATGACAACGAAAGTTGGGATGTACTCGGCGACTCACGAAAGCGTTACAGTGGCCCGTGGGCAGAGATAGGAAAATAGTGACCGGGTAAAGAACCAATCAGATTGCAAGATTCGTTACCGTGCCCTCTAAAAAAACAATAAATTTATATATCAAATATTTCTGTTACATATTTTATACTTAATTAACTAAGTGTTAAAGGCATATGTATATATTTTTTGGTTTACGAAATCACTTTAATACCTTGTTTCCATTTTGCAGTTGTAGTTTTATTTTAATTATTTGTCTCTCATTGTAGGTTGAAGCTCATCCATATGATAACAATGGCCCCAAGCCACTGCCATGAGAGATTCATCATTAAGAAACTGATTCCTCTCATAGCAGGATTTTATCTGGTAAGCATAGCCAATATGTTACTGATATGCCATTTAGAGACAACTGCATTCCTTGCTTACACCCAGGCTTTGCAGGAGTATGCATTAGATTTGTCTCAGTCTATAACTTGATAGACATTTTATTGACCTTAGAGAAACAGCTTATGAAAATGTAAAATATTGGAAGGCAGACAGTATACAAGAGAGTGGTCTTGTTCATTGATATCAGGAAATTATACTCATAGTCTAGTTACTCACTGACCATGGCAATTATAGCTAGTGCAAATTCAGACTGCTAAGATAGGTGTCTTGAAGCCACTGGGACACCTCTGGCTATGAATTGGGACTACAATAGCAAGTTGAAACAAAAAAACAAAAAAACAAAAAAAAAGTTGAAACAACAATTAATCAATGGAATAGGAAAGATGGTAAGTTTTAACTTTGGTAAAGAAATAGAGAAAGATCTATTTTTTTCATCTTGTTATGAGTTTGAGATGCAGAAAAAATTCTGAGTCCCCATGAGGAATCAAACCTCAGACCTTCAGATTCTGCACTCTGATGCTGTAACATTGAGCCACAGAGACTTGATGGTGAGCAAGGCAGATTACGAAGTTCATATATGACACATGTCCAGGAGACTGCTTAGATAATGAGGACTCAAAATTTTTTCTTTGTCCCACGCTTGTGACAAGACAAAAAACATCTCTCTCTAACAATTACTCATTTGGGACATCAAGAATAGTATGTAGACGTTGTATTAAAATCTTACAATACATATAATAACAAATTCAAACTACTCTGAATTTTTGCCATCTTAGCAATAGGTTTGGAAACAGTACAGAGAATATTGTGACAGAGATCAGTGTCACAGTAACCTGTAACTAGTACATCCATGATGGGGGAAAGTTATCGTTACCTTTCATGGTCATAGAATGAAAGTGGTTTGTGAAATAGCTACTTGTTAATTATGTTGCTAACAATAATATTTATCTCGGTAATTAGGTGGCAGGTGTCATTATGATTGGGGTTGGTGCTCACGTGATGAGGAACCAAATAACTCCTGCAAAAATTTTGACAAGCCTAAGCATTCAAACAGCACCCATATTACTCCTCTGTGCTGGAGTTTGGAGCTTGCTAGTGGCAGTTCTTGGATTTGTTTTTATTTGTGAAAAATCACCTATTGAGAATGGAGAAAGGAAACGACTTAAAATTACAGTGAGTACATACAGCATTGAATTTCCTGTGTAATATGTAATAACAATGATACTGGGCAACCATTTGGTAATTTCTCTCTGCTGGAATTCTATTAATTAGGTCATACACTCACTAGTCGTCACTTTGCCTAAATGGAATTATTGCAATCAATCTGTCAAGATAAAGAAATGCTAGCAATAATGTCCAGCAGTAACAACTCACTTTTCCAGCCTGACTGGCAAAAAAATTAGAAATTGACCCTGTAGCACTGAAGGATAGATGCTCAAGTAACTTCATGTTGGCTTCAGAATTCACTGCACTGCAGAAAATTCACTGTACTAAAGGAGCAGCTGAGAGCTAATTTACTGTCATGTTACAGACTGAGTGGTGTTTTTACTTAAAGTCACTTTTACCTGACCTTCTATTTTTGTAATGTGTGTTGTTATAATTTCCAGTTCATAATCCTTGGTGTGGCAGCCCTTCTTCCGGCATTTATTGGTGGTGGAATTGGTTTAGGTAACATCAACAAGGTAATACTCAATATTTAACTGTTTCTTACATTGAAGACAAAGCTTATGAGACTGGTCATACATCTCTGTAAGCAAGATACACATCCCCCCCCTTAATACCCATTCATTATATCCAGCAAACAGGTTATGAGAAAAAAACTCAAACTTATCAGGAAGAAGTTGTTATCTTGATGTAACACCAAATTCTTGGAACTAGTTTATAAGGAAATGTGTTGCAGTTGAAGGGAGAATTAACAACTAGATATTGGGGGTTAAAGCATTTAATCATTGTTGATGGGTATCCACTGCCACACTGATCCATTAGTGACAGATTGAAATAAAAGTTGACCCATTAACTCCCAGGAGTGATTAACATGTTACTTCTCCCTGAAATATTTATACATTATCTAGCAAACAGGTAATGAGAATATTCAAACTTATCAGGTGGAAGATGTTATCTTAATATAACACCAAATTCTCATAACTAATCGACAGGGAAATGTATAGCATCTAGAAGGGAGATTCAAATTGCTTGTTATTTATCTCACTTAATTCTGATCAATTTATTTGGGTTCTGTTGGTTGGGGAGGGGAGGGGTGGAGGGGCAGCAATAATGTGATACTTCCAGTTAAGGGCTATAATTACCAAAAATTTCAAACACTTTTTGGCATTTTTCCAAGACCAGGTAATATATGAAGTCAGAAAGAATTAAAATGCTTGCTCTGCTGATTTGCTCGGTAAATCTTCAGACAGAAGTAGTATTTGGGATGATTTCTTTCATCAGTGAAGTCTATCGGTGAGAAAGCATATTGCTGTTCTGAATCATTTTGTTTCTCAGATGAACGAAATGACAGTACATTTGAATTAGGCATTTTCTAACTGCAATTGATATCCCGTGGACCACAATGAAGATTTATTATCCTCCCCAAAATTAGAAAAATAGCAGTTTATGTAGTTGTGGCACTTGATTGCAATCAATTATAAAATACAGGTACACTCAACTCTCCCCTAATTATATCTAAGGAATAAGAGGTGGAGGGGTGTGTGAATATGGCTCTTCCCTTTCAACCCTTTGGGGCTTTCAAGCCTTTTTTCAATTTCACATGACCCTTTCACAATCTCCAGGAACTGACCCTTTTCCCTAGAGGTATTAAGTTTACCAATCTAGGTACTTGCAATACTGCATTGTTTTCAAGTCATTGGTGTCCTTTGTACACCATGTTGATTATTCCAATATAGGATATTTGAGTTGTATAATGCAGGAATATACATTGTACTGTCTTTAAACTGTAGGTCACAAATACATTTGAACCAGACCTAAAGACAAAACTTGAACTGTATGGAAGGTCAGGGGGCTCCATGGAGGATGTTAATGATTTACAGAAAGAGGTCAGAGAAGCTTAATTTAGTCCTATTTTTATGTTTGTTTTGTTTTGTTTTGTTTTTTTTAGACAATTTCTTTCTTTTATTGAGAAACCTGTTTTTGGTGTTTCATTTAGTTACTTGTAACTTATTTGAGAAGGTTTGCAAATAGCTACTCTCTGAGGAATATTATGACAGTCAGATAGCTACAAATGTTCAGTTTCCTGCTCCACAAGTAATCTAGGTTCATTCTAACTTGCCATTTAGCTGAGCTGTCACATGATAGCTTAATGTATTGCATTGAATATGGTACTGTCAGCAAATTAAGTTTCTTTCAAATTTGGACAACAGTCAAATACCTTTTGTTGAGGGGGGGGAGGGGAATCTTGGGTCATGCCATAAATTATGATTAGGGCATTTGTTTGTTTATTTGTCTTTTTAACTTTCTGTTATTTCAGATTTCTTTTGCTACCCTGGAAGAGAATTATCTGTACCAGTATAAGTTATCCTCAAAGATTCCTCACACAGAAGTCTTTAAAGATTATTTTCTAATGTTAAGAATTCAAGCAGTTGTTTCTATATTTACAATGGAAAATTAATTGCTGAAATTGTCTATACATAAGTTTAAAATTTGTTAAAAGTTCCTTCATTACATATAGATATAGCTGTTGCAATAAGTCTATATTAACATCCACTGTTTCAGCCAACATGTAGCCGTACTGTTCCCCACCCCCCCAAGGTGAAACAGAAGCGAGGTAACACGTTCCCTCGGCTTTGCTTCACCTTGCGGGGGACGATATGGCGACATATAGGCTATCACAGTGACTGTTTTTCATTCATTAATTGTTGTTTTATCATTACTTATGATCAATAGTATAAATGTTGTGGGGTGAACACCTTTGCTGACTGGCGTATTACTGTTTGGGGAGGACGTAGATACGACAAAGTCCCAGATGCCTGCTGTAAAGATGAGACGTTTGGATGTGGTTACTGCTTTGTAGATGCGGATAAAACACTTAACAAAAAGGTGGATTGTTTGTTAATATAAAGAGGAACCAACCACTCCAAATTTTACCACAGTTTAAATATCTCTTACTCCTTTTATTTTAATTTACAGAAAGACACAATCCCTAACCACAGTTGAACTTCCACTCTATAAATAACCTTTTTTTTTTAATAAATACTGAAACATTAGATAGTGTTGAAGGCGCGCTCTGATTGGCTACTCCGAATATACTATACTATTCACTTCCGAGCAACTCGCGTGGGATTTGCGGACGAAAAATATGTGGCCGTTGCAGGAATAAATGGGTTAAATTAATCCTTTTGAGTAATGTTATCTCAATTTTTTGTTTGTACTAAAACGACTATTCACCTCCACACCTTTCATACATCATCTTATTCAGCGATCAATGTGTAGTTTTACACCCACTTTTGGCTCACTGTAAGGTTGCTGAAAGTAGTCTGTGAAAGTCGTGAATGATGTTAACAAGGAAACTTTAAAAAATTTGATCCTTGATTAAGAGTATTAAGCATTGGTATGAGCAATGACCAGTTTAAGTAAATATTTTGTGATCATCAAAGGCTTTTAAATCTTTCAAATTCTAGTATCAAAGTAGTCATTTGTCTCCCGACCTTGTCATTCTGATGTGGACCTCGCCTTTTCGACCACATCTTAATAGTTTTATTATACGCTATTGTCATTTAAGTTTCAATTGCTACCGGAGCTGCTAGTCACAGTTTATTTAGTTTTCTGTAAATGAATTTTGGAATAATCCTTGATACAACTGCAATCATGATTACTGGATAAATGTTTCCCTTTGCAGGGTTGTGCTTCGATTGCCGTGGAAAAAGTGAAAAAATCTTTGCTGACTGTAGGTGTCATTGGAATCATTATTGGTATAGTCGAGGTAAAGCAGTAACTTACTAGGAAGTAGTGGGTAACAGGAATTTCACCTTAACTTAGCAAAGATCAATTTTTATTGGAGTGACAAAAGAAAACTGGGATTACTTTGGTTTTGGCCTACTGCGTCATATAATTGGTCTAGAAAACTCGCGCCACTTTTTCGACCAATCTGATTTGAAGCTAAAATCAATTGCTACTTGGTTGCTCGCGTTTTCCCACGCCTTAGGCGGTGCCTGTGTTTTTGCTTTGAGTTCTCATTGGTTCCTTGTGATATATTTTCCTTTGTTCTCATTGGCCTTTGTGATGGCTTCCGTTTTGGTTTAACGACATTCGAGCGAAACGTGCTTAACAAATATCCCGTGATGGCAAACAAACCAAGACCTGGCCCATAACGACAAAAAGGCTGCGGAACTCTTGATATCGTGTTAAATCACCTGTAAGGTCAGATGCTTTGAAACGTTTTCGAGACAAGTCCTACCTTGACAAAAAACTACGCAATTGCTACATTTCTCGGATAATCGGATAATTCAGTATAATGACAATTTTTTCGATTATTTTTCATGTTAGTAGCTAGCTATGGCTGAACAGATTGAAATTCATGGAATAATCGGCCAAGTTTAGATTGGCAGAACTCGAAGCTGATTTGAAATTGCGTCAATTACACTCGAAAAGTAGGATTGAAACTTTTTTGTCATTAAGTGCGAGTCTTCATTAATTAAGTAGTCAATGTTAAGTTAACATTCTAACGGCTGTACCGCAGAAGCTAAGTAATGAAGAAGGCATTTTGAAGAACCAGTCAGATCTAGACATCTTGACATTGACACGACTAGTCCTTAATTTTGAGCGCTTAAGAGCTTAAGAGCTGCGATTTGCAGGTTAGACGAATGCTTATTAGACAGCCACCATATGGAGAAATGGATAGTGCCAGTTTAATAGGAAGTGATAACTAAACGGGGCTTAGTCACGAAGAAGAAGGGAAAAAAAAAGGAGACAGACAAGCATAAAAAGTGACAGACACAAAGACATTTTTTATCATGAAGCCTAGCACTTCTGATTTGAATGTTTGCTTTGTATATCACAGCAGTACAATAACACTAGGCATGGCCTTTTTAACCTTTCGGTTGAGTGAGGCTCATTTTAAAAAAATCAGTTTTTAAAACACACCATGTCGGTTTACAGGTGATCTTGTGGGTGGTCTTTCTCTGTTCTTGTTGCTGCAATGCAAATGGGGATGAATATTTACCACAGCCTTCAACACCTTTGAAGTCTCAGCCCGAACAAATCACGCTAAGAGACACGCCCAGCTCCAAGGAAAGGGTTGGCTCTGGACAAAGTAAGGTTGTACCTGCTCCAGAGGAAGATTGCACGCCTTCTCGGCAGGAAGTATGTACCTCTAGTCCTGGTGCTTCGCACTATGAACACAAAAGTGATAAGCCTAGCTCAGAGGGTGGTGCTGCATAGAGTAGAGAGGAAAGTGAAAAGCCGTCAAAAGAGAAAACCACGTCTTGTTAGAGATCATCTGAGGTTTAGAGAGGAGTCGAGAAATTGTCACTGTAAATGTTTTAAAGGGAGCAGAATTAGGTACAGTAAAGTTTTTTCTTTCACCTCTAAAACCGAAAGTTACCCTTTGCCCTAACTACTCGTTTTATGACATCCTCCTTTCTGTTTTGTGCTACAAGTCAAGTTTCCTTTGAATAAACGCTGAAGCGTTCGATGTAACAGTTTTATATTATTTTTACTCCACTTACGTTTTCCTTAAAGTAGTTTGCCGCGGCGTGCAGTTAATTTACATCTCTGTCGTTAAAAAAGCTACATGATAAAATTTACTTTTTACCGTGTTTCTTAAATCCCACAAGTAGCCCAATTGTGGTCAATATACGACGTTGGAATAGACACCGCCATTTTGCAAACATTGAGTAACCTGGCCGCAAAAGAATGTCGTTCCAGAATTCAACTAAGATGACAGAAACATCATGCGCGGTTTCGCGTTCGCAAACCGAAACTGCTCTAGTTTTCGCCAAGAAACATTGCCGGAAGTATGGCTTTCTGTTTGACTCCTAGAATTGTTCAAACAGACCGCCAAGAGACTTTAAAAAAAGAGATTGAGATTCAGTTTAGTCAAAGGTAAGCGGCTGATATCTAGATCCAAGTGCCTAAATGGTGGCGTCCATAGTAGTACTTTATGCTCATTTGAAAACAGGTTGAATTACTCTGAGGTGTTAAAACACGGTCATTACCGTAGTTTCACGCAGAATTTGGGATGGTTGAGAAGGAAATAGTTTTTTATACAAAGCAAACTTCTCTTTTGGTCGGACTATGGGTTATTTTCTCAATTGTTGCCGCTATTTGGTTTACACTACACGCCTGCTACAAGGATACGTTTGAGAAATTCAAAGTTTGATTTATAGCGCCATTAGTGTTTACTCTACTGAACACAGATTTGTCCTGTGTTTCTAAATCATCAAGTTATTACGCAATTATTAAACGAATGACAAGCGTTTGGTTATAAGACAAATTTTTTATTGTTCATTCATGGATAATATAATTACTGTGTAAATTTTTATATTATTTTAATTTGATAGATACGTGTCATGTATAGAGAGTTGATTTGTGTCACGTACTTCTGAAGAAATAAAGAAATAATTCTTTTCGCATTCCACACCGTTGGCAATGGTACACGAATGATTTCTGCTAGAGGGTGTGTTGTACATGGGCCATCAATAAAAAGAACAAAAGGCAAACTCAGATTAATTTATTCACGACTTAGCTATCGGTATAGGTGTTTTAAAAGACATTTACCGAGAAGGGAGTGAGGGGCTAATGGTTCCCGGGCACTCCAAGCCTACATCAACCCTCATGATTCCATAAACCATGGTAACCGTTAAGAAAAAAAATAGAAGCACCTCACCCCCTTGAATCGTTATACTATAGAAATATTGCATCCACGAGATCAGCTGACAACGTCCGTTTCTTCAAACCAAAGAGAGGATGTGGATCTAGAAGAGTTTCTGCTCCAGTGAAACGGTTTTCTTCCTAAAATATCGACTAATTTTTATTGGTGGTACAATGTATGGTTCTCTTCCCACTATGTCATCATGTGTGTTAGAGTAAGTGTAACAATAATAGTGAAAAAAAAGTATTGAACTGGTACAGTGCGTGAAAAATCCATGCTGTCTGGCGAGCAAAGGGAAATCCGGGATAGATATTTAGAAATGGGAAAGAGAGAATCGAAAGTAAAGAATCAGACTGGAGAATTGTTTTTGGAATGGAATTTCAAGAACAGGGTACGTTATTGGAGTGGTAGCGAGGAAAAAATTCAAAAAAGGGAAATCCGAAAATGACGAATCGGGAGTAGGAAACCGGAAGTACCAACATGTACGTAATGCGTACCTGTTTACCTTTATTCCTTTGTAACACCGAAACAGCCAAATGTGACGTCGCGTCAATGTGATAAATTTCTTAAGCTTTACTAAACTGGCTCTCGTGGTTCTTTTGACTCCTGATGTGAACCACGTAACTTCCTTTAATCACCAGCGTTGTTGTCAAGACACAAGAATGAAATAATTACAAGAAACGGCCACGATCACATTCAGTTCCGCTCTAATTTTAATTGTATTTTTTTTTCAAAAAAAGTTAGAAACTCAGCAGTTTGTAAAGCTCAAACCAACCCACGTGATCTAACACGCACGCACACCACATAAATAACAATAGTCTGTAGATGTCCCACCCATCCCGCAAGGGGAAAATAACTGTAAATTAAACGAGAACAAACGGAAGGAGCAAAGGACCCTGTACCATATTCCTTGAATGTCATACTTAAGGCCATGATTAATGCAGCGCTAAAGCGAAGTAATCCATGTTTCTACGTTTAAAAAATCCTTAGACATGACATTAACTGTTTTTCGAACAGAACCATGAAATCTACATTCCAACTCAGATTTTGGTCAAGGCAATTCCGACTTGAGAAGTACCACACGTATCAAAATTTTTCGCCAGAATGTTTTTTAAAATTCCACCAGTATGAAACATAAGCACCAAGATTAAAACAATTTCGGAGAATTTTTAATTTTTCTGAGTCTTCACCCTAGAAAAAGAGAATTTATACTTGAAGAATAGGGTGTATCTCGTACACGATCAAATTTCCTTTACTACATTTGATCCAGATAAATGGAAAGTATTGTTTAAGGTACTTTGAGAGCTTTTTTTAGGAGTTAGATTAAAAAGAAATTCTGAGGGGCTCCATACTTTCATCGCAAAGAGAAAGTTTCCAATTATCACTTTCTACACAAACGAGGATCAAGGAATCTTATCCTCTTACTTTGTTGACATTTAACTGAATAACAACCTATCACTTTGAAAAATAGTGCACACATCAGATGACAATGCCCTTAGCTCCTTCATATATGTAATAGTGACTGTTTATTTACAATTTTTGTTTCGTGTAGTTTGAAAAATTTATTGCAGCGAAAATTCCTGTGAGAACAACGAAATGTCATCATTACTTCACTCCGAACTATTCTTTCCATCATTTTTTCCTTTGGGAATGTGTGAATCTATTTAGAAGAAAAAAAGAAACAATTTAAAAAAATAATAAAATGAAAAGGAAGACTACTTGCATATCAAGAGAGAGGTGGGTTGCATTTCTGTGGTTGAAAATACTAAAAACTCCATAAACCTCCCAGTCTGAGTTTGAATGGTGGAAAGTGAAAAGGGGGCGATTGAAATCTCCAATTCCCATCAAACTAAAAATAATATTGGAAACGGAGGGAAATACACTGTATTTCAAAAAGCTAATTTGAGTTGTAACCCTGAATTTATAAATTTGATTCATTAGAGCACGGTTTTAGTTCAATATTTCGATAGCATTAAAACAATTTCTTCCCAATCCATTACCATGTGTCAGCAATAACGTAGGGCCTTGGCATTGGCGGTGCGAACTCCACTCTTTGATGACTGTTGATTTGACTTAGTCTGTCTTGATGTTGCTGTGACGGTGAACTGAAGTCTGTTGCAGGTAGAACTCGTATGGACCCTCCCTGGCCATTTTTAGAGGTCGAACTCTAAGTGGACAATGATGCATTAGCAAATATTAGTAACCAACGTACATTATCTCAATTCATCACAGATTTCTAATAGGATCACTTACTAAGGTATTAAGACCAATTTCCGATCAAGTTTTGGATTGCTTCTACTTTACATCGCCCCGTGATTTACCATAAGATTTGTACGTATTTATTGGACAACCTAAAATTTAAAACCTACCTTGCTATTTGGTAGAGAAGTCCCAGTAAACTTTCTTAGAGGAGCTCCTCCAGTTCGACTAGCCCCAGAAGGGTCCGGCCTCTCAGTCTGTGATCTCGCTTGTGGGTGCATGCTCATGGCATCATGGCCGCCAATCTTGGTCCTGGGTTGTACAGTGTGTGGATGGAGAGGGTCAGTTGGGGGATTTGAGAAAGGTTTACCTTCTGTTTCTTTTGGCAATGGGTCAGGAACTTTAGACCTAAAGGAAACGGGACATTCCAATAAATATGGTCGCCATTTATAACCCTTTTTGGGCACCTGAAGTCAACAAGCCCAAGTGGATGTTTAGCAGATTAAACATCCGTTGAGTTGCATACGCAGCTCATCAGTGACAACAGTGAAGGAATTAAACCAAAAAAAAAATTGGAGAACCGACACCCTTTCAAGGGTCGCTCATATAGCAATTAAATATGTCAACAAGCTGATAACCACACTTGAGAAAAAAACAGACGCAGTTACCACAAGAAACTGAAAACTCCAATGCCGGACTAATTTGTCTACTTTTTCTGTAATTGTGTATGTTGTGGAGAGAAATGAGAATACGTTGATGCATGCCTTGGAGAACGAGGAAATGTCTTCTCCTTAGCAGGCTCCCCAGTCTCTGGTAGGGTAATCGGTCCTGTGTCCCGCGTGGGAATTTGGTTCGGGACGCCAAATGGATAAGCCGCAGTTGTCCACGCCACAGCCTACAGAATTTAAAGAAAAAATATATTTCGAGTTCCATTGTCTTAAAGGATAATAAAACAATTTGCAACAATGAAGACGATGACCACAATACAAAAAGTGAAGGCTTACCTGTCCATTTGGTTTGCAAAGTATCGTGGTACATTCCGGTCCAGTTCCCCACTTGTGCTGCTCTTTCCACAAGAAGTCTGATGGAGGGTTGTGCCTGGTCAAGCTAGCAGCTGACCACACCTATAACGGGCAACAGCAAAGGGCAAGGCGCTATTCAACCAGATCATTTTCATTACGTAGATAGGCAGAGAGAATATCCAAAGGAGAATTGTGGTCTTATATTATGCCGCTGTGTTGAGCTATCATTTTCGTAAAAATAAATCACCAAGCGAGGCCACAATGCACGTCATTCAGTTTGAGGCAAATTAACATACCTACCAATGACATAATAACGTGTAAATCATTGATATCGATGGGCGAATCTCTAATTTTTTTACTGCTTTCCACCTTAGTATGTACTCCATTTGTGGGTGGAGATACTTACAGTAGCATGTGACAATGCCTTGAGCCGGGTTCTTGGAGGAAAACGGAAGACTGTCACAGGCCTACCAGCTACATTCTGTTGAACCATGTACCCGCCAATCTCTTCATCCTGGGAAAAAAATCAAGGATACGTCACGAAGATAGCAAGAATTTTCGTGACTTTGTTACCCACTGATAATTTCCAACGCTTTGCAACTCAG